CCGGCCATGCCATGCTTCAACAACAATAGCATTCAACTCTCATTCTAACTATCCTGAACTTGAATACACCGTAAGCACAAGCGTTTGAACCATGTGCACGTCTGTCCAGCACATGTGGCACGTAAAAGTGTGCAGATCAGGTTTGCTCTGACCTTACCTATGCTCTTATGTACTCTGCTACGTTCCTCAAAGCCCAGCTTTGCTATTACATTTTTCAAATACATTGCACATTTTTTTATTACCAAATATAATACAACTGTAAATGTCTTTGTGATGTTGCTGCTCTATAATACTGAAGTTTGTCCTTCAAAAGTCAAAAGTGGAGCAATGACCCATATACGTCCCTACTTTGAACCTCAGGTTTATATAGTCAGCTCACACTTTGCCTGTTTTATGCCAAGAATAACTCACTTCCTGACTATAAAGCTATCACACGTAGACTGTCTCCTAATAATTTACAGAGGATTGTTGATTGGAAGCAGACATGCATAACTCGAGTTTCTTCAGTCTGAGATTGGCAGAAGCAGGTGTCTCTAGCTGCAATTCTTGGATTCGATCAGGGAACCCCATTTGACATTTTGGCTACGCTCCTTATTGGAGAGTGAAATAATGTCTGTGAAATTAGTGAAGTGTGCAGGCCAGGCACCGTAGAAAGCTGTTAAAATGATGTTAAAAAGATGTTTAAAAGATGTTAAAAAGATGAAGTAGAGTCCAAAACAAGAATTCAGCTATATTGGACAATATCACGAGCAAATGTGGAACTGGGCTGAACTTGACACATAATTGGGAACACGTATCTTTCCTGTCTCAAATTTTAAGATTACACAGTTTAAAATAATGAAGGCTGTGACCAAGGGAATTATCGGCTGTTTGTTCTTTGCGTTGATACTAAACACTGATCTTATATACGCCAATATTTTTTTGCACCGCATGACTGATCAAAGCCCTATTTCTTGTTATTTATGCGTTTTATAAAGTTAAATGGCTTGTCCAATTCAATGTCTTCAGTTCAATAGCTGTTTCTCTTATTGCTGTAGGAATCAGGCAATATAGACAGTGTAGCAAGTCTACAGTACAGTATATACTTTTTTCAATTCCTATCCCGAGTCCAGCCAAAAAAGTATCCTTGCATCTTTGAATAAACATGCCACTATTCATTAAAACCACTGCCACCACACACACAAGGTCACTCTAATTAATATGATTTTGTTAGGTTTATGTTTTCCAGTATGTTGATGAGTCCAAGAAACCTCTCCCACCGATGCTTATGAATATATGCCTTATCCCGCATGGCTGTCTTTCCCGGTGTTATTCTTTGTCCTTTGTCCATGTGAGTCATTGAGGGCAGAAAGGAGATGGTTCGTTTACCGTAGACTCATATACTGAAGCCACAGAACAATCCGTACATGTGTGTGTCCATGTTTAACTTGGATTTCACCTCCAAACAGTAGCGCCAATGCTGGATCATATTATTTGGATTTTAATCATTCAAGTTGAAGGACAGAGCAAAGGCATGGGGCAATAGCCAGAGCATTACCGCGTGTGTATGTGTGTGTGTGGGTGGAGAGCGAGAGGAGGTGTTGTCAAGAATAGAAGTCTTTTGCAGATGTTGAGAGGAAGACTGAAAAAGTCACTGGAAACTGTTGTGGTTATCAGTTGTTCAGCACACACTAACTTAACCCGCGGACGTCACACGAGGCCGCATCCCCGCTATGAAGTCTGAGAGATTAATTGTTTTGAACAGATTGGACTGGCAAAAGTTGTTTCAGGCATTAAGTGAGAAGGGAAAGTTTGAAAACATGTTTACTGGTAGAGGTGAGAGCTGCTGTCGTAGTGTTAGGTTTCTCTGTTGGACAGCGGCCCGGTGCGGAGCCTTCGCGGTGTCCCAGGACGTAACCTGAGGAATGCACATCGCAGTCTGTCTCTGTCTGTTTTATTGACCTTTTCTAATTGTCCTTTCTTAAACTTTGAGGGACTTTTTAGATTTACTTTTACCCTACACATACAGGCAAAACAGGTACATTTTCACAGTTTTGCCACTATTATTTCAACCCCATTGCAAGGTTGCTGAAGTTTCCTAATAGTGGACATATTCATGAGACCTCCCAAATCTGAAAGTAATTCTTGATCTACCTACAGTGTAAGCACTAGTTCTCTAAAGTAGCCCTCTAGTCTGAGCAGCCTTCATCCAATTCACTCTTCTTTCTCCTTTCTTCAAGTCAAATGTTGGTTACCTAAAATACATATTTGAAAAAAGGCCCGAACAGCAGTAAAAAAAAAAAAAAAGGCACCATGAAACACCAGATATCGTCAAGTTGATCAGTAGGAATAAAGTTTCACCAATATTGTGAATACTTTTTCTTTATCTTGAAGAAGACCTACACATAATGTCTATTAGTGATGCTCATTCCACCATATGCAACCCTTATTTCCCCAGATCCAAATAGAAAGCCTTATCTGATCTGTTTAGCGTCTGTTTCTGTACTTGTCTGAGTTTTAATATGGACATTTTGGAAAGAGATATCTACTGATGTTCGCTCTCTGGATAATAAAGCTGCCGGCCTGCCTTCTCCAGCACAGATCACCAATAATAGGCCATCCATGACTCCACTCCTTTATTCTTTCACTCACTGCATGATGCGAAAAACACAAGTCTCTTAAAAGGAACTGAAAGCAGAGTTTACATCTTCCAGGTTTCTTGGAAACTAATGTTTTTGATTATCTGGAAGGGCTCTGTCTCCAGTTATTCTCTCTTTCTATCATTTCAAGTGCAAATGTATTTTATTCAGGGCTGTAACAAGTGGACAGATTTAATTGTTGTCAACTAATTTAGTATTTTTTATTGTCGACTATAAGTTGTTTCTTTTTTCAAATTCTTTAAACTCTGCAGCCAATATAGCAACACGGCCAATGTATGTGTTGTTATTGTGGAAGATTATCCCCTGGCTGCAGGAAGCGATATGGACACAGCTCTATCAGCTGTTGTGTTATGTTTATGTGAACAGCAGAGCGCCGTCGTGAGGAGATGCAGTGAAATACAATGGTTTTTTATGTGTTTGGGCCATTGTCAGAACAACGTTTATGATCTTATTTTGACTCCATCCAGGTTTAGTAGCCATAGGATGCATGGTCATTGTTAAAATAGATCATGGTAATTGAATCCTGACATGGAAGCAAACGGTTAATGTTTGTCCCCTCAGAGTTTATTGTGTTATTTACAAAGCTTTGGCCGTAACAAGTCAACAGTGAGTTAAAATCATGTGACCAGTTACAACGATTGTCTTTTGGCTTTCTCTTGCTATATAAGCTGTGGATCAGCTGTTTATGCATCACTAGAGCTTTGCTTTGGTAAAATTTATAAAATCCCATTTTCACTGACCTTTCTGGATCTTAACAGCTAATTGATTAATCAAAGAATAACAGCCCTCATATTTTTTTTACCTGAATATTAGCATTCATTTATATTGTACATTGTCTCATACGTATATGCGGACAAAGGATGAGCCCGTATGGATATTTGAATGATATCTGAGGTGATGTCCTGTGATGTGGCCCTGTAGGAGTTTTAATTTAATTGACTACATATTCTATAGTATAGTATGTGCCATTTCAGGCTTAAACACCAGGTGCCTCTCCTGAAGAAAACCTGAACCGAGTCCTGACGTACAGTAGCAAAGCCATACCGTACCTTCTCAACGTCACATAGTGTGCCAGTGACACAAAGACTGCAGTGTGTCACCTCTATTTCTGACGGCCGTAATAAGTCAGCCGGCCTGAATATAGTAAAAATATTGGCATTGCGGTGGTGCTGATTGGCCTAGCAGAGCCCGCAGAGTCTGTTTCTTGAAGGTGTGGCATGAAATCACAGAGAAAACTCAAAGAATGTGTGCTGAGCTTTAGCAGGCTCTGAACAGCTGCAGGAGCACACTGGCTTTCATGGCTCTGCAGCAAAAGGGAACCTCCTCACCACAACAAGAGGCAGAGAGAAGAAAGGGCAAACAGGGAGGGGACTTTTTCAAGTGCAGGGTTCAGTTCTTCAAGTGGAAGTCTGCGTTGGTACGCAGAGTTTAGGCAGAATTTATTATAAATGTGGATTGTAATGTGCTTGTGATTGATGATTACTTTTTGCTTGGAGAGTTATAATATGCTTTGATCTCAATCAGGAAGTATACCTTGTTAACTGTACAAAATGTGATATTCTTTGACCGCAAAATAAAACATTGAAAGATGAAGATTTTGAGATATCCTTTGCTTATTTAGAAGTCGACGTGTATCTACTAACCCGGTAACTTCTTCAGTGCTTAGTTTGATGACTGTAGCACCAACTAGATGCAGTTGTGGAAGGTGAGAGACGTCTAATATTATAGAACATTATAGTATGAAAATATGTTTTTTGTAGAAATACTATTATTGTAATATTGAATACACATTACTTTATATTATTTTTTAAATTCCAATCATGCTTTAGAGAACAATATATCGAAAATAAAAGAGTCATATAACTGTTTTTAGTATTTTAGTCTAGTGAGATTAGTGATGGTTTGTTGTTCAGATTGATCGGTCCTCCTCAGTCGCTGGACCCAGACTCTGGAACATGCTGCCCCCTGATATGCAAGTGATTATTGATTTTAGCCTGTTTAAACCGAAGCTCAAAACGTATTAATTCAAACTGGCTTTTAACACATTTAACACTCATTAGGGCACTGTTTTAATGCTTTTTAACTAACTATTTTTTGATTGCATGAATGTTTTAATGGATTGTATATGATTTCCTTGTGAAGCACTTTGGTCGCCTTGTGTGTTGCAAAAAGCTCTATAAACAGATTGATTGAAAATAGGCTTGTACAGCATCCGAAGTGTCCAAAAAAGCACTATGTAAAGAAGATGCTTTCTGTGTTTGCAAATGACGTGTGATTGCGATCCTGTTTTGACAGCAGCACATTTAAGTACCAATCAGTTGAATTTATTTGCTTTTTTCTTATTTGTTTTTTTTTCTACAGATGGCCATCATCTCTGGGAGACAGAAGCCAAAGTGGACAAGGATTCCGTCAAACATGTAAGTGCGTCCAATCAGTCGTCTCTGGAAGCCATCTTGCTTTCTTCTGTCCCACTTTCCCTTGACACTTTCTCATTTTCTCTGCTCCTCATCTGTCCCCTGTAATGATGTAACCTTTGCTAAGGCGTTACAAGTTTCAACACAGACAATGTTGATTATCCCATGCAATCCTGAATGGAATTTTCACCCAATCTCTGCATCCTCTTGGAGTAAACATGACCTGTCATTTTGTTTTTGTGTCTGTTAACTGTTTGCAGCTTTCGCACTCTTGCCCTCTGAGCGTAGCCAGACAATTAGTTCACGTAGGCCATTGTTACTGTACTCTGTCAATGAGAACAGCTGTGGCGAATACTCTATTAATATAATTATGAACTAAGGAAGCAATCTATGCAATTACTGATCACGATGCTAAAGTATATTTGATAGAGCAGTAATAACAGTATGATGTAATGCAACTTTAAAATACCACTGTGCGTTAGTTGGCAGGAGTTCACATATTTTGTTTCTAGTGGCAGCTGACTATTGGCCACATCTGTAGCTCAGCCAAAGCCGGATTGCAGCGTTGATTTTACCTGCTGTGTTTCATAAGATCCCCTAATCAGAAAATAAACCAGACCACGTTTACAATTTCTTCATCTAAAGCATTAGGAAGTGGGAATAATGAGGAGGAAGGACCCGGTGTTGTTGCACATGTCGCAGACTCTGGCTTTAATTACAAACTCCATAGACTATTCACTTTGTCTGCCTTTGCAGCCAACTCGTGCACATGGAACAACCTGTTGTGCATGTGTTGTATGTTTTGAATTGCTTTGGTCTTTCATCAGCGGTATCTCTCCTCACCTCTGCATCTATGTGTGCAAGCCAGCCCAGTCAATATGCCCTCTCTCCAAGTCTAAAAGAAGCATCTTGTGAATCTAAATGCGACAACTTGAGGGTGTTTTTCTCCTCGTTATTGTTGTTGATGTTATTTTGCCCAGGTTAAATGGCTGGGTTGCATCATCAGGCTATGTGTGGACCCAGGTTACCTAATTGGCCTGCAGGGCTGAGTCGATGTGCAAAGGGCTAAGAGTCCCAGATGCTGGAAAAATTAGCGAGTGTGAGTGAGTTTATTTGTAGATATAACAAACATCATTAAAAACCAGTGCTGTCGACTGCTGTAATGCAAACCAGGCCACTTGCACCTTCCTGCGAGCTGTTTTCATTCTCACAAGGAGATTGGCTGCAAGCACCACCAGAAGAAAATATGAACTGTCTTGTTACCTTAATGGAGAATTAGGTAGAAAATGTAGGAGTTCTAATTATAATTCGAATAACCGTAGTATTCGTGGTAACATTGATGGCTGGTGAGTAGGCATTTGTCATGTCCCAATACTAAAAAAAATTAAATATTATCTGTGGGAATTGAAGTAACTAAATTAAGCTATTTTGTATTGAAAGAGTGATATCATAAAATTGGTCAACACACTAAACAAATGAAAATTAAAGCTGGGGTATATTTTTTTCAACCCACAACAACTGGATCTATAAAATCTATGTTACTAGTTCCTGGCTTGAAAATAGTTGTTTCTTGTCTCTAGCTTTCACATATATTTTGCACATATTTTGGCCTCCTTCACACACTTTTTCAGACAGAAAAGTGAAATAGAGAGAAAATATAGCATGCTTTCTATTGGTCTTTTTGTTCATAAAATTGTGCTTTTACATGAGTCTTTCTGTTGTGACAAATAAAATGTATTATTATGGCAAACATGTTAGGTATCCCAGCTTTAAGTATAATTTCAGTATTTTTTGGTGTCTTAAGATAACATTTGGCAATAGGACGCAACATTATCACAATAAGCTTCAATCTAAACATCCTGTGTATGCTGTGGCGGTCTTACCTATTCAACTCTATATAGCATCACATTTGCTCCAGTGTGGTGCCTTATAGAGTTATTCTGTTTAGTTCCCTTATACCTTCCTGTCTCATATTTTCCTATCCACATCCACATACTAGGTCAAAACAAGAAGTCACGTGTCAAACAGTCAATCAGCCACCTGCACACTTCCCTTCATCATATATGGAGGACAAATTAACCACAAGGACACTACCTTTGAACCTGACCCCAGCCACAGAGAAGGTGCTTCCTGTCACCTCACTACCTCACAGCGCGTACCCCATGAAGTGACGGCTATCTCAGGCATCTAAGTCAAATTCTCCCCGTGTTCCTCTGACAGCAGCTGAGAGTTCACATCCGTCCAGACTTGTCAAAGACTGGCCTTGTACAGGGGATTTGGGAGAGAGGCTTCGGGCGCTGAACAAAGGGCTACAGAGAGTATCACAAATGTACTGCAAGAATGTGAGCTTTTTCAATGTTTTTTTACTTCATGATTTTCTTCTTTGGTCATTAGTCAGCAACAAATCATTTAATACGCACAAGGGCAATTACATTAAGAAATTTATGTTAGACTGAAATTTAACAATTAGCACATGCCCTTATAATATTGTATCGTATCATAGAAGCCTTCCTTTTTGGTTTTTTGATAGATGCTTTTTCATCAAGCTGATACCTAATTTCAGATTCCCAAAATCCAAATAATAATCTAAAATACTTTAGATATACTTTCATTTCACAATTACTCTGAAAAATTCAGAAATCTTTCTTTCTTGTTCTTTGGAAAAAAAATACACTCACAGGTGCAGGACAGAAACCAAAACAAGAAGAAAATCCAAACAGAAAAAAAAATAAAACTGTGTGCTGAATTTGTTGTTATAGTAAAAACTTCAATGATACCAATATCACTATATATTGTCAGTGCTTGTTTTTTATTTGTCTCAGAAATCCCACTAAAATATAATTAATTATTTTTAAAAGTCACACCCTTATTAGGAGGACCATGTCTCTTTGTAGGCCGCTGTGGTGGGAGCAGGCCAAAGCCCCTGGGTCAAACAGAGGAGACAAACAATGTTAGGGGACGGCCCTCCTGTGGCCTGTGCACTGGACCAGAGCAGCTCATTTAAAGTGCAGCCTCTTGGAAACACTCACCCAAATACAGACCTGGCACTAAATAAACACACTGTGAATAATTTTACACACTAGAATTGACGGCATTCAAACATGAAATGAAAATGTATGCTAAAAAAGTCACGGGCAAAAGACCATTATTCTAAGTGGCACTTAATCAGAGATGGAAAGTTAGAATTCTGCACTTTTGAATAACGACAGAAAAGCATTTTAGTTCAAGTATGTGCACCTAATATTATGCCATGTTCTTGTCTCCATAAAAGTCTCATTGCTTTGTTGGGATGTTGTAGAACAGAGGTTGGGAACCTCCTTGCTGCGAGAGCCAAAAAAGAATCCTACATAAAAATGTATTTCTGTGCGGCCATAAACCTTTTTTTGAATGTGTAAATATGTGTGATTTTTTAAAAACAAGATCAACACCTTTAGAGTGAGATATTCATCTCAGAATTCTTTTTTGTTGTTTTTTGACATTTTTATACTGAAGAAATCCAATACATAAAACATTCTTACTATGAATGCCTAAAATTGTCTGAGAGCACAGACACGAACATCAAGAGTTGAAGAATATGGTCAAAAGAACCATGAACTGGGATGGGAGACACACTGGAACACCAGTGCCACAGTGGACGGTTGTGGAAAATGTTAGTTGTGCCCTTAGTCCAGACAATTGTGTGTAATGAATGTGGTTTTTATGTGAATCATTGGTGGTAAACGTGGGGGGGATTGGCACTCTCGCCTTTGTAACCCAGGGCAGTTGTGGCTCTGTAGCTTAATATCACAAGTGCAAAGAATCTCGGAATGTCAAGTAAAAGTAATGCTTTATAATTACTTTATAGTAACTCATACTTTCATGAATCTATTTTGATACACTGTTCTACATAATGTATTGTGTTGTTTTATTTTCTCAGAGCTCACTTGTTGTGGAGATCCCACCTTACAGAAATCAGAGAATATCCAGCTCAGTGCAAGTCAACTTCTACATCTGCAATGGAAAAAGGAAGCGAAGCCAATACCAGCGCTTCACCTACCTGCCCCCAAATGGTAATCATTATCACATTGTCTCCTCTCGAACATTATTACAACTGACAGTGACTGACACATACAGGCTGCACACTTCTGCTTTCATCAAACTGACTATTTATCTAGGACCTGACAACTATCCACCACAGTTTATTTCAATTGTCAACTTGTCATGTTAAATTTGCGGTCAAATTTTGAACAACTAATCGGCTGGCATGGCATTGTGGGTATATGGACTATATGTGTGGTGTTTATTCAGTCGTGAGAGTGCGTTCCTGAGCCATGAGGTGATCCCGTGCTGACTGACAGAGCCTTGGAGCTAGTGTTGAAGTCACTCTATACTTTTAACACACAAACTACAGCTACACACCTATGGGCCGATCCGATCAGTCAAGTAGAGACGTGAACTCCAGGCCCGGCATCTTTGTCTGTTTTTTGTGCTTCTTTGGCATGTGTTTATAGGTGCCTCTCAAATAGGAATCCAAAGAATGCATCGGTGTGAGCAGTGTAACACTTTTCAACTGATTATTGACTTTTTCAATAGTGACAGGTGAAGCTAGCGAGTCTGTAGTCTTATTCAGTAAATAGGTTTCACATTGAGTGAGACTTGCAATATAATTGAATAGGGATTATACAAGTACACAAAATCAGAATAAAAGCATGATTTATTTTTGTCTGAAAATGACTTATTTTTATTATTCATGAATATATTTGACATCAAGCATCAGCATCACCAGTTGCTTATGTTTGGATTCAATGTCCCACCACCCCAGCTAAAGCTTCACAGCAAGAAGCTCCTGGGTTCAATTCCACCTCCATGAATGGCCTTTCTGTGGGAAGTTTGCATCTTCTCCCTGTGTCTCCGGTTTCCCCCACCATTAAAAACATGTACAATAGATATGAATGTAATGAGCGAGTGAACGAATAGTGATGGTTGAAGACTTTGATCCACCTGTGTCTTTGGCGTCTCGCTTCTGTCATCACCGTGTGTGGAGTGAAATGAAAAATACCCAGACTACAAAAAGTCTGTATCGCACATTGTGTGACCTTGGTCTGTGAAATGCGCTGTACACATTACTGTCCTTTCTCATCTATAAGGCGTACCTGTATATAAGCCCTTTTATATAACACTTTCAAAAGTACATTTTCTCCACATATAAGCCACACTTGAATATAAGCCGCAAGTTCTCAAGTTGTAATGTAACAGCTAGACGACTGTCGATCAGCTTTATCCGGTACTCATTCACCAGTTTCCTAAAGCTATTAAAACTTGATGGAGACCAATAAGTCCATGCTCTTACAACTCTAACACAATAAGAATACACATATTATCCACATCGCTATATAAGCCACAGGGCTCAAAGAACTAGAACAAAGTAGCAGCTTATTGTCTGGAAATTACAATACTTATTTTGAAGACTTTTGTTTGATATTTACTACTACTAAATTCAAAGTTGTGATCTCAGTCTGACCATCGCCAAGGTCCTGACAACTCAAGAGTAGAAATGGAGTGAAAACAGAAGTTGAGTTGAATGAGAAATGAATGAACTTCAGCGCAGAGTAAAAAGAGTAAAGCTGCTTGAGCCTATATCAAATTAAGCTAGCCCTTCCCTTATTTGAGTAAACCAGTCAGCAACTTCAAAAGCCTCGCCCGGATAACTACCGATCCATTACATTTAAACAATTGTATCTTGTTTTCATCGATTGCTGCCTAATGCATCTAATGTGGTATTGGATAGGTATTGCATATACACTTTTCTATGCCCGCAGCTGTTAATACAATGTGACAGTTTGATTATCTGTAGATGTATTTATGTCCATTGCAGTCAGAAGATAAGCAACTTCAGATGAGCCTTTTAGAGACAGTACAGGTCAGCCCTATTTGGAAATGCCTGATTACTGTAATGAAGAGTGCATTGTGGGTAAGTGGGCCAGAGCGGAGGCAGACAGACCCTTGGCCATATATAGAATATCCATTTCATATAGTGAACTGCAAAGACAAAGAAAGAGCGCCTTATCAGCCTGCAGCGAGTGTCTCACAGTCATTACCCTGAGCACAAACACAGGTCTAATTAAAAGATGACTTGTTGTTGGCTGCTGACTGAACCACAAGTACAGCGTGGACCACACAGGCAGGGCCATGTTCTCTCTAAGGACCACAATTAACTCACTGTGTTATAGCCAAGGTCTGCATGAGTGTAATGTTGTAATGCAATCATATCAACTCATCATTTCAGATAGAAAAATGTACTGCTTACTAAAAGATAGTTTAAAATATATATATGTATACACAAATCGGAGAATGATGGAAGGATAAAGCAAAGACTGAAAAAGGGACTAAGGATAACCAAAACATTCCCTTAATGTATTTGGAAGATTTGTCAAAGAAACAAGTATCTTTTGTCCTGTTATTGGGCAGAAGCATTATTAGAATTACGAAAAACTACTTAATTCAAGCATTTATATGTATGTATTATAATAGAGCATTATGGCCATTGTATTCTAATACATTGATAATCGTCTCACCCAAAGAGCACCTCGTCTACTGACTTATATTACTGCAGGAAGCCTCCCTCTTCTACCTTTTTATTCTGGATTTATATATTTATATACATTTTTTTGTCTTTGTTCTACTAGGTTAAAACTTTGTTAATAAATTTTGTTCAACAACCCAAATACAATGTTGGGCATAAATATTGCAGAGAGGTTTTTTACCAAAATCTTCAAATCACAACAGTGGGATAGATTATGTAGCCATTGAAGTTATTAAAGCCATTGTCTGGTAAATGCATTCATGTGTACAAGATGTTGCTTTGAGCGTTTCGGTATGCCAGTGCAATATCCGCCAGGTATGAACACACACACACACAAACACAGGGCACACACTGCTGTCAACACGTCTTTGCTGGGCCTTTATGAAAAGAGGTTTCCGCCACACTGTCCCACTTCAAGCGCTCTTGTGGTCACTGACGCTGTTTAGAGAGCACATTTCTTTCACACTCTGGTGTCTGCTCATCTATAAAAAGCCCAACCTGATACTTAAAATAACCCGACTTGTTTGAGAGAGCGGAAGGATGAGACAAACGCGCGCTGGGACACAGATGCTTGTGAAAACCACCTTTATTTTCCACTCGGGTCATGTGATCGCCTTGTTATTTTCATACAATAGTGTTTTGTCTGTTTGAAAGTACCAAACTATCAACACCCCATGTACTTTTTTGTTTTTCATAGAGACTGCATTGTTACAGATCTGCACACTGATCTAAATCTGATCCATTGTGTAACTCCAGTTATAACATTTTATCAGATTGGCATGAGTGGCAGAGAAAGAGAGCTGATGAAGTGATTGGAGCGTAGAAAGTAGACCACAGTACTGTTAATTCACATTCATTTCAATTGATTAGAAGCAAGATAGTGGGAGGGTGTAAGCACTTTGAGTTCCCTTTTATTTGCCAAGTGAATGTGTACACTTGCTCTAGAGGCTAATGTTATGTTCTCTTTAGTACGTTTTAAAGTTACCCTCTTCTATTTTCACACGTTAGGTGCTCCTCCTTTTCTTTATTCAAAAAGCCAACAGCGTTTATAACATTTCTTCGAGTTGTAACAAACATGAAATCAATAGTGCGCCCCCAGTGTCCAAATTATGGATTTACCAAATTATGCCTCTTCACAATCATGTTGTCATAAACTTTTCCAAACACAATAAAACTATAATCATGACTTGCAAATTATGTGAAGTACTGTAACCTTGAAAAAGCATACAACCATTCCTTTTATTCTAATGATTGTTATTTCATTAGCTAAATTCTTTCTAAAATAAAGTAATATAACACATATCGCAATGTTACCATATCACTCACTGTTCAAATCTCTCGGAGCGATTGTGTGTGAGCTGTAACGTGATGTTGTGCTGAGCAAATACCATGCTATTTTTCCACCAACCACATTAACCAGCAACTCTTCCCAAATCGAGCTGGGAAGGAGCATGGCTAAAACACAAAGATTCTGGGAACCCCTTTATTTTTACAGCCGACGGAAGATTCCTGTAGAACGGAGGTCTATTCTTAACATGTGTCTGCTCTTAAATACATTGGTTTGTGGTATTACCAGGAGACAGAAGCAGCTATGACACATATAACGCAAATTGTTCTTTTTATAACAGTTTTGCACAGTCATATTCTAGTTGGAAAGAGTGGAGCAGTCCTGACTAATTCCTATAGAGCCGGCCGACCAGTGCTGGGAGACCAGATTGTGAATGGTGGGAAGAGGTCCATAGTGCCACCTGGTTTTTGTTAAATGTCACAGGCGCTAGACAAGCACAACTCGATATCAATTATTTGTTTTTGTAGTATTTGCCCATGAGCACGGATCACGCAAAAAAAAGAATTTGAGTATTACACACGGCAGGCTGTGCAGGCAGATACCCCCACTCCCTGTCTCAGTGATGATGGGACATGGGAGATCTAGAATATGTCTTCTGGGTAATATGGTTTGGACAAGGAGGTGAGGTGTGGTTGGCAAAGACCAAGTTGACACATGGCCTTGTTCCAATGTTTGTTGGATCAAATATATCATTATATCATTCATATGTATCGTCAACAATCCTAGGCAGAGGGGTTTGACTTGCAATTCAGGTTGTGGCTACAGTATTTGTTAGTTAAGCAGGATTGATTGTATTTAAAAGATGTAAATTAGCATAATTTACTGACTGAGGTGGGTTCTGAGGTTTTAACAGTGAGATGTATTTTGACTCTTGTTGACTGAAAAAATGTGTTGTTCAAAGTTAAAAGTTTGAAGCATTTTAGTCTTATTTGAAAACATGATGCTGCCAACTTTAGATACCATAACATTCATGTACAGCAAGTTTTAAATAAGAAAAGTTCATACGCAGTCTGCTTACAAATCAATGAGCAGAATACAGAGAGCAACCATGATCAGTGTAATCCAGACAGACAGAAGGGAGGCTGCCAAACTAGGAGAGGACCATGTGCGTTGAATCCACTGTCTCTGGGCCATAACCCACCGCTCTGGAGGAAATCAGAGCCAGCTGAAGTTAGGATGCGCCTGGTGAATCTGTTTTCTCAGCTTCACGTTGAAAGTGCAAAAGAGACACATAGACGACTGGAGCTGGAGGGACGCCCATGTTTATATCAAGAGCAGAGAAGGAATCATGGAAAAATTTTGAATATTTAGAAGGAAGGCCATCAAGACTGTGGAGTTTTTGCAACTCTTTACCTATTCACTGAGCAATGAAGAAAATGTATTACAATGTTCAGTTACAATGTTCAGTTTAAGTTAATAGCATATACAGTGATTTGTCACAAAATAATGATTAATATATAATATGAGAAACTAACAATTATCTATTCTCCAGTTCTGATGCTGCACTTGTGCCTCTTGACACAGCTCTGGTTCACAGAGGAAAAGCACGGCGCTGGTGCATGGTGTGACTGCTGTGTGGTCCCCTGGTGATGAAACTATAGGCCTCTGCACCATGAGACCAGTGCACTGCGCTCCCCTCAGACCTGGGGCCTGTCCTAAGGCAGGCAGCACACACTGGGCTGACGTAAACACACTGCAGCTCTGCACCTCCGAGACTGAGGCGTGATCGAGGACTTTTCAATCCAGCTCCACAATAATAAACTTCAGCAGCAGCAGAAGCCTGTTTTTATGGGACACACTTGCACTCTATATATTTCAGGGCTTACTCAAAGACCATATTGTGCGAGTTACAAACACACTTAGGACAAGCACTCTTTATTCATATTGACATATGTATCCTCTGTGTGCCTTTGAGAAAATGTCATATGCCCAGTCTTCAGCCAAAAGCCATTAATGGTTTGGCATCAAACACTCACCACACCCATTAACACATTTTAACAATGTGCAGAAATAGAAACAGTATATCCATTGTGACTCATAGGCCTTTGCTATGCATCTGGGTATCTTAACATTAGCCTATTAGCTGTAGTTGGCAGTTCTCTTGAATGTACTGTATTTAAGTAATATCAGACCAATGGGATTTTGTACTTACAACATACTCTGCAGTGTTGTAGTTGAGAATGAGGGTTAAACGATTATATTTTCTTGTGGGCACGATTTCTCATAAAGCTATGGCCAATGAAGTAGAAATTCAGAACCAAAATACAGTGGGACACGCCTAGACTGCAATTTGTTTGTCATATAAAATTGGACTACCTATTTAAATATGGCTGCTTTTCATGACCAGCTACTTGTTGTTGCAAGTAGCTGTGTGCATACGCTGTCAGACTGGGAGCAGTAAATGGTGGTCCAGCAGTCAATTGGGGTCATCACATTCAGAACTCCTGTGTCAAACATTAAAAAAGACTCAGGCTATAGTCCAAAGCTTCTTAAGAAGCATAGCCGACCAAATCAAAATCAAATCTTCTGGTTTTTTTCTGACTTTTCCTCCTTTATCTTTGGTCCTAAGAGAAACAATTACTTTTGGAGTGTGGAGAAACGCGTGGAGTCTCTGGCTTCTCTAGCAGCAGCAGATTGTTGCTTTAAAGTAGTGTTTTATTGGATATCAGAGCTGAGAGAAAGTCCAAAGAAAATAGGTCTTATTCATTATTAGAGCCAGCTGTGGCTTTCCACACTGATGACTCATCCATTTTTCTTTCCCCCAATTCACTTTAGTTTTTTTTTTTTGTTTTCTGTGTGGTAAAGCAGTGGAGGGGTTGTGGGGGGGTTCTCTTGTTGAGCAGTGCCAAGTTGATGCTCTGCCCAGATCTACTGGTTGTTGTTTATTTGGATTATGGATGCGATCATGCCCACAATTGCTTGCTCAATGCTTCTCTGACTTTAGCTCATGTAGCTCTTCGCTATTCCTTTTCTTCTCCCCCCAGTTCCAGTCATAAAGACAGAGCCTAACGATGAGTACGACTCCATGGGGAACAGCCAGCCCATCCACTCTCAGTCGTACTACAGTCAGCCTCGCCTCGCTCCTGTCCTGCCCGTGCCTGAGTCCGAAGCCTGCCTGGTCAGTACCTACTCCTGCGCCCCACGCCACACCACCATCACCCCATCGCCCCCCAGCTCCAGCCCCACACTACATGACCTCACGCCCTTGGCCTACAGCAAGTGCCTGTCCAATAGTCCGACACACGGTCCACTGATGTCTAGTATCCACGAAAACCCCATTCACCTAAACCATCCTGCATCACCGGACCAGAGCTCTGTAACTATGCTCCAATCTCAGGGCAGCCCCAACAATCACCTCAACAGCCCACACAGCTACAGCCACATCTACCCCAGCAGCAGCCCCTCGTCTTCCCCCACGTCCCTTCCATCTACGCCAGGAGGTGCTGCAGAGAGTCCCTTTGGTTCCAGCCCGAATGGAGAGAACTCGCCTACGCTCCTGCACGACGATTCCAGTTCCTCGTCCATACCGGTCACCGTAAAACAGGAGCCGAGAGAACTGGACCAGATGTACCTCGATGATGGTGAGTGTCCAGGCAAGCTACTCCTGCTGCACTGCTTTGTCTAGTGGGAGTCAAGTTACACTGGTCTTTGATCAGGGGGATTACTGTTAAATAAGCAGACGTGTTATCAGAGGTGAGAACTATTAAGTAACAGGATTTTTACTCAAAGGGGCATTATTCAACATTTGATAGAAAATGTTATATTTTTGCATATTTGTAGTGAGCCAGTGGCTGTATGAATAGTGCCTTAACTTTTGATCACAGGATCCAGGATCATTTGTATCTGGTGCAGAACCATTGTGATGGAAGGTAAAGGCGCCATGCTGACCACTCATACTGCCATTGGGTCACAAAAGTCAAATATGCAAACGCTACTTGTGGATTTGATGTAGAATTAGAACGTGTGCCTTCATTTCCACTCTCCCTCAGACATGGTATTATTTTTCACATTGTTGCATTTAAGTGTTTTTATATTTGTTCTTCAAATTATAATTTATATAGATATAAATAATAACCCTCAAGGGGAGATTTGGTTTAGACTGTGTACTTGAGTAATGATATTTTGAAATGATTTTCAAGTTTCCTCTCCCACTTTTACTTGGTATGCTTACAGTATGGTAGCAAATAAAGGCCTCAATATTTTATTTCTGCCAACACCTTGTCTTATCAGCGAGGTCCCGCACCCTGTACCTATCCCCACTTCCTGCTTTAATCCAGTCACCCGATTTGCGTCAGAATTGTTTAATTTTAGCGCTGGTCGATTATGTGCTTTGCCCTAACAACATGTGGTGGGGCTCATGTTGTCCTCTCTCAAAACTGTAAATCGCCTTGATGGGATTTTGAAACAATCTGTCAAAACATCAGAGCGCCGAGGTCAGCCAAGCAGAGCGGCGAAACAAAAACAGTGGCACACGCATACGGCCAAGCAAACTGTTGATACAAGGCTTAATGACGGAAGCATAACAATGGGCTGGGGTTTCCTGCGAGGCACCCCAGCGACACCTCGTGCACAGGCCTGTGTGAGAGATGCTGTCACATGTTTTGTTTTGCTTTTGTTTCCCCTATGGCGGTGGCACTACGCAGCTGTCGTCATCAAGGGAGAGAGCAGGGTCACTGGTCCCCCTGTGGTGATGAGACCTGCAGCACCCAGGGGACCGCATGTTCGAGGTTATTGTCTCCTGTGACCACCACGCCTCTCTGGGTCATTACCTGTTAGAGCAGGAGCACACTTGTTATTATTGTGGAATTGAACTTACTGCATCTAAAAGCTGGGCTTATTTTGCCTATATTTGGTTTATAGACAGTTTTAGTAATATCATCTCAGATTGATACTGAAAAAGAATGTGTCAATCATAGAAGTAAGCCATGTGTATTCTATGTTGATGTCACCCTGGCTAAAGGTAGTAGAGACCTACAGCCATTGAAAGCTGCTGTATTCTCCCTCATGTTTCTATTTCCTCCTGTTTTCATGAGTGTATGTGATGAGTGAGTTCTTCGCTCGCAGCTCGGGGAGTTAAAGGGCGATAGGCACACAGGGACCAGGGGAGTTGAGCTCTGGAACTGTAATTGACTTGAATTGTACTTGTCAGCAGATCTGTCAGTCCTGATGAATCCAATTAGTTCTCATCACACAAACAGACAATGCAAAGAGACAGGAGTTGTCTGTCGGTGCATTATTTTCTAGTTTGTTTTTGATTTTTTTATCAAGCTCACCCAGTTCATCTGGAAATTTTATTTCCATATTGTTAAATACATTTTTCCTATTTTCATTTTTTATGGCAGGGAAAGGTGTTTTAGTTCATTGTAAATTGAATCAAGTGAAACTCAAGCTTTATTATGCATTTTTCAGATTAGATATTTAAGGAATCACTTAGGCTATACCAATAGAGGATTCACCAAACTTTCACATCAGTACTAAACTAAAATCATGTAACCTTGTTTCCCCTTCCCGCTACTCAATCCTCTGTCACTTTAGAAGGACTAATATTTTGTGAGTCCAGCAGCCAAATTCAGTCAGGCTGATTACTACTGCATTAGGGATGCACAGGAATTCATATTGATTGATCAAGAACAGTGAGGAAGACCTATGAAAAACCTCAGTGTGCCGCCATCTGCATCAGCTATCGTCTGCTTCAGCCTGTGTGGTGAGCTGCTGGAGACCTGTAAGTGTGTGGTGGTAACACCATACTCCGAAGGCATTCACCACCCACGGGCCGGCCATCTCCCAAGGCCTTTAAATGACTCCTAAGCTAAAATAAATAAGATCGGAAGGCGGCTTTCAGGGCATCCTGCTTATGTCCGCAGGCATTAGCGCTGTATGTTAGTGAGCTGAGCGCTCCATTAGCGAGGGGAAGACAGACGGATGACCTCACCTCAGAAGCAGTGATTTAACGGCAGCCGCGTTGAGGAGCAGCGATTGTGGGCCGGTGATTTGGAGACTGCGGGAGCACACTTGATCTTCCCCTAGAGCAGATCACCTCCCACACTCCAGCACTGAGGCCTCAAGCTCTCATCATTCAGAGAAAATGTGTCTCTATGGTCCGGCCAGGTTTTACACAGCCTCTGAGAAATCACTCAACTCATCAACGCAGGGCTACTGTACCACACAGGAGAAAACTCTCACAACCTGCTGAACGCTTCTCTCTTTTGTGATTGAAGTTTATCATAGAAAGGAAATCATATGTTGGGATATGTTTAGGCCCTCAACCTTTTGGGCAAGAAACATCTCAATCAAATTCTCAAAAAGAGGAGAATATGTAATTCAGATCTAACTTTAACTTCAAATAGTGGAAAAACCTCATGTTTATATTTAGTGGTGGTGAATATGTTTATTATCTGAAATGTATCACTACCGGCCACTTATATATTTACCCGTTAGTCAGCTCTTCCATATCATTGTCATTAAGCAAAATACCTGTAAACTACATCATGGCAGACATGCATCTAAAATAAATGTTATTTCAACAGATGTAATCAAACTCTGGTACAAGTTTAGTCTCAATCACACCCTAAAAAGTCACTCTGGCTTGTTTCTTTGTGGGCGCTGTTTGTTTTTGGCCTGTGGCATGCAAGTGCGCCCCTGTGTGTCCTGTCTCATTAACCACCATTGTGATGGGTGAAATCATGAACTTGCTGCTCACTGCAAAGGGGCAAGCGCCAATCAATGGTTTCTAGATCCACCCCAGCTGCTTTCCTGCAAAAAAAGAGGGCCCTTATTCACTAAAAAGCATCATGCAACACACAGCCTCCGCCATTCTCTGACATTTGACATATGTGCACTGATTGCCTCATGTTGCAGGGTATTTTCACTCATGATTATTTCCTGCTTTAATTCAAGGTTTGTGCATCTGAAACCCCGCTTGTTTGCCCAAACTCAAAACAGGATTGTTGTTTGTCTAACTCTTCCCTCCCTCATCTCCCCACGGCAAAAAAAAAGTATTTGAGGATCTCCGCACCGCCTCAATTTTTCTGACTGGGATTCAAGGCTTCCCTCATGGAAACTTTTACACATGTTGGCGACGTGCCCAGACCCCAGGACTCCACAAAAGCCCTAATGATGATTGAGAGTAGAGGGCCAAAGCGTGGTGAAAACATGCTGAGTCGCTAACTTCGCAGTGTGCCGCGAGGCTGTCTCAGGACTGGGCGGTGAACGGGTGCGAGGATTTGGGGGCTGGGGTGTTCATTAACTGTATATAGGGTCTTGGTAAAGAGAATGGGGGGAAAACACACAAGCGATGAGATTTGTCACTTTAAATGAACAAAATTGAATCAGCTTTATCGATTTGCTCTACTTCTGCTACTTCTGCCACTGGTTGCTTTCGATGCTAATGCCGTTCCTTTTGGCCTTCCCCCAGTAGATGCTGGTAAAAGAAAATCAAGAATTGCATTATTATCGCCTTATTTGCCATAGCCAGTATTAAAATCCAAAGAACACCTTTTATATATATTATATTTCGGAGGCCAGAGCATAGCACAAAAACATGGTCGCTCAGGTCCTGTCGGTACTTTGAAAGCCGGTGCACTTTCACGTCTATTCCCCTTTAACCCTCGGGCCTATGGGAGCAGGTCAGTTCCCTTCTATAGTGGACGGAGAGCGAGGCTGACTTGCGGTTAAGTGCAATGCCAAGAACCTAGTCTCCTGCTGGACGTAGTATATCGACAAGCCTAAAACAATGGGTGATGGCTGTTTTATTATTCATGAATAGAGAGAGGATGTACATTTTTACTATTGTTGTTATGGCTGTCTTCTCATATTAGCCGCTGTATATTCCTGGCACCACTTGACACGGTGAGCCACAAGTACAGGTCCTAGGCTCTCAAATGATGTTTAATAGCCTTCTGAAGGTTTATCTGTATCTATTCTGAAGGTAGAATAGAAATCAGAAAGGGTCCAACAGTATTTAGACAAAAGCATTGAACTATTGAACTATTGAACACATTTAAAGTTGAATACAGTTTGAAAGAAAGTGATCAACAACAAATATCTATGTTTATTGTTAAGAAAAATGGGCCAAGTCATAGTTTGACCGATATGCATTGTTTTTAGGTGATATCAGTATTTTCTATTCTGTCAATAAGCAATATTTTCCAAACCTTTGCATTGACAACATCTTTGGAACTTTTTTTTTTTTTACCAATATTCCATTTTGAATAGTTGATAAGATAAGATCTCACATAGATCAGATTGTGCAAAAAGACAGAAGTGCAAAAAATGTTAAGGTTAGAAATATAGCCTGTGCAAGATATAATAATTATACAATACAATACAATACAAAAAAATCATTAAGATCTTAGCCATTATCATTTGTACTTTTTCATACAGATCCCCTCATTTATCATAAACACATTAGATTAAAAACAAAAACAAATATTGGTAGCTGTTGTTCACCCATAGTTTATTTGCATATGGATTAGTGCATGTCAAAATTATTGTTACACCGCTTGATTGTTCCTTATTCCAGCTCATCCTGGAATCCCGAGGCGATCCCAGGCCGGCTGAGAGACATTGTCCCTCTTTATCT